AGAGAGAGAGAGAGAGAGAGAGAGAGAGAGAGAGAGAGAGAGAGAGAGAGAGAGAGAGAATGAGAGCAGAGCAGAGCAGAGCACAAACACACACTAATATTTCCCACAAAGTACTGTTGTGTACAGCCCTTCACTGCCTTCCGCATTTTTGACACAGCTTTCTGAGAGCTGTCTTCTTGTACCCTGAGGAAGATGGAAGACTTTGCCGCAAGAGGGTGAGCAGGAAGGGGCCCAGGCAAGGATGGAGAAGATCTTGTTGAAGGGTGTGTGCAAGGCTAGTCCACGCAGCATTTCGAAGAGATGGGAACTTAGGAAGTACTTACTAACTGGATCACGGTGCACTAGAGCAGCAGTAGGCTCAAAAAAAAAAAAAAAAAAAAAAAAAAACAGGGCTGCAAGAAATCCCAAAAATACAAAAGTGGGTTTTTTTTAACCACCAGTACTTCCTAGAGTCGTGCCCGTTAACGCGCCACTATTTTAGGAAACGTACGGGCTACTACAGGAGCGCCCAGATTCATCCGACTACAAAAGTTTCTACTCTTTTGTTTTCCGCGGCCGATAGCTGGGCCAAGTACTGGTCGTTTAAAAGCTCCACAATGTTGGACTATCCATGAGTATCCTATTGTCCGTTATCCTTTCCTTTCAATTCCCCCCCCCCCCCTCTTTCCAAGCATTTAACCAGCATTTAACAAGCATATAACCAGCATTTGACCAGCGTTAACAAGCATTTAACAAGCATATAACCGACATAGCACCAAGCTGGACGTATATGACGCTTGCGGTGCACCGTGCGGTCCCGCATACTGTGCAAAGTGCCCAGATGGGTGATACGCACACACCGCAGGCTACCCGTGTGCACACGTAGTGTGCAGGGGTGTGCAAGACTACCCCCCAAGCGGCATCCGACGTACCAAGCATCGGAGCGACATCCAACATACCAAACATCGAACCGACATCCACGATACCCAGTCGGGTGCCTAGAAATCCCACGTACCATGTTGAATGTATATGGGCATTTCATGTATATATATGCTACCTCAACCCAACGACAAACTCCAAATGCATGCCAAGCCATATGCCTACAAACAATTGACAGGCAGGTGCATAAACTCGACACCTCTTAGACCGAACTTTCGAACTCCAAATGCACGCCATGTGCCTACAACCAATTGACATACCGGTGCGTAAACTCCCCCCCCTCTCAGGACTGAACTGTCTCCAACATAGGAAAAAAAAACTAAGATCAGATTGTTACCAAGGCTGCCCCTCTCTCTGACATATAGGGAAAGCGGCAATGTAACACAAACTACGACCAGCTCTCTGAAGTCAATGATAGCAGGCTCTGCTGTAAATGTGTGTCGGTCATTGTCCACGTACGTACCTGCAAGAGGACCAGGTCCAGGAGCTCAGAGACATACGGGCTGAAGTATGCAGCCATCGCATGGAGAATGCCCTCGAGAGCAGAAACAACGTTCAGCAATAGGTCAACCTTAGAAGCACACTCCTTTTCTTGACCAGTCACCTTCTTGTTTTCTTCTTCTTCCTTTGCTGCTGCTTGTGTGTTGATCGTGTTTGCCGCTCTCTTCCCAACCTGTTACATAACAACATCATACACTATAAACATCAGCATCCACCCACGACAAAGTTCAAATTTCGGCCTTGTTGAGCTCCATTCTGCCTCATGACAGGGCTTGGCCTGATGATTGTGGAGAAATGGCGACCAGTACCGAATACAGGGCGTACAAATTTTCAAGGAGTGCATAAGGAGGAAGAGGATAAGAAGAAAGAGCAGCAGGAGGAGGGGAGGAATTGGGGGAAGGGGAGGGCTCTGTGTGATAATAGTGGAAGAAAAATCATGATGCAGAGTCAGGTCGAATCAGGAAGGAGTAAGGGGAGGAGGAGGAGGAGGAGGAGGAAAGAACACGGGTGTAAGGAAGAGCATTGAATGGTAAGAGTGGAAACGACCTCATGAAGACAAATCAGGTAGAATGGGGGAGGAGAAGGAGGAGAGGGGAGGAGGAGGAGGAGAGGGTATTGTATGGCAACTGTGACAGAGGGCTCATGCTGTGGAGGCAGGTGGAATGGAGGGGGAAAGGAGGATGGGGCAAGAGGGGGATGGCAGGTATTGTATGATGCTGGTAGTGGAAGGTGGCCTCAATCCTCTGCACAATTCTGCTCTTCTCTGTGATTTCACCTTGTCACTTTACTCGGTGAAGATCACAAACTTCAACAGTTAAACTCAAGACTACTGTCATTATCGCTGCATCTGGTCTGAAAGTTGCCGCAAATACAGTTACAATGACCGAGCATTCTATTCGGGTGAAGGCGGTAGGGGGTGGATAGACATGAAAGGGGCCCTGTGCTGTGATTAAAAACACTGGATTTTGTAGTCCATTGCTCAAAAGCAGATTTGCACACATTGATACCAGTTTGTTCAGGATTTCAGTTCAATGTCCCTTCACTTAAACCACCAGTACCTCCATGTTCTTAGGCCGTTAACGCGGAGGCTGAATAGGTGTGCGCCACGCGGGTCCATATGCATTTGCATCAGAGCCTTCCCAGAGGGGACCTAAGACCCCCTGGGGTACTGGTGGTTTAAACCTGCAGTCCAAGAACAGGGCACAGTGCATTGACCGCCACCGTTTCATACATGAATTTAACTGGGCGCAGGCAGGCCCGTATATTTTTTCCAAACCGCAGCGGTTAACGCGCCACAGATTAGGGCGAGCAGCCGTACTTCTTTGTGGTTTCCTGAGCATCTGCTCGCTCTGGCCAGACCCTGAAGATCAACAGGAAACAATAACACTTGTTTTTTGACTGGTCGCTTACACAATTCTGATAATGCAAGAGGTGAGGCAGTAGGGTGGGCACAGACAGGGTGCGCAGTCGTGCCCTCTTCATAATGCACGGCTTACACTAACGTTCACAACGAGTGTCTAATTCAGAAAGTAGTTCCTATCTTTCTTTCTTTTCTTTCCCCCCCCCCAAAATCCTGTCCCATCTACCCTGGGGGGGGCTGCAGTCCAGTTGCTTAGCAAAGGCAAGCAAGAGAACAGGTTTTCTGAAGAGAATAGGAACGAAAAGGGCGCACAAAAGAACAACCAGGAAGGGACCAGAGGGGGGTGAGATTCATACATGCAATCCAAGATCGACGCCGACGACCATAGTCGACACAGACAAGCAGAGATTGAAGTCCTGAAAAAAGTTTAAAAAACAACATAACATCGACTGCGAAAAGTAGTATTGACCAGAACACCATAAGTCAATGGACAGTAATGATACACTGACTGAGACATTCAGAACAGACTGGCAATCAAAGGGGTTGACGATCCACAGCTGGAACATCAACGGATTGGGAAGACGGTGATCAAAGGTGAATAACCGAGATTTCTATTCCCACGAAGACGGTAGTCAAAGGTAAACCCACCGGTTTCCATCATTATATCCGACGTGACTCTTTCGTCCGATTGAACTTACCTTGAAAAGCCCACCGACAAGATGAGGCAGATGAGGCAGAGCCTGCGGTCCGCAAGCAGAAATAAGTGCTGTCAGACATGCAACTGCATGAATCACCACAACCCTGGTCATGCACACAATAACGATAAAATAATGTTAGAGACAAAAGGAATTAAAAAAAAAAAAAAGAGAAGAACGTCAGTGAACTCTGAACAAGGAAGAAATGCAACCACAGAGGTGAGAAACTACTGTCTTCCTCCAAACATAACGCACCCTGATAATGAATGTAATAGTCATACAAGCTATACTTCGGGTCAGGTACAGCCAACATGAGGGTGCCTTGTGTTCGGGGGAAGACAGCAGTAGCCCCGCAGTGAGGCCATACTCACGCAAGGGCTTTCCTGGATGAGTGTGACCGCTTCACAGCTAAACGCCTGAAAGCACCTAGCCGCAATTCGATGTACAGATAAGTTGAAAAACTGCTAGTGTGAATACAGTCAGAACATACGCAAGGAACACACTCTTGAAAAAGAGGGCTACAGTCAATGACCGATCACAATAAACAACTGAAAACATCGACCAAAAAACACTCGGAGAAACTCTGACGAAGAACGAAGCACAACCGTCCTTTGTTCATAGTATTTCATACGTTAAAATTGAAACAATATAGAAAGTGAAGATTAGCATCGCCCCTGCACAAGGATGACATGCATAAATTAAAAAATGGAGAAAAAGGGGGAAAAAAAGAGAAAAGAAAGAAAGAAGGAAAGAACCACAACCAACGGGTCAGGAACTGATAGCTATACTGCGAAGTTGAGATAATTATTTATTATTATATTATATTATTATCTGTGTAGCACACCGAACATGTTCAGGGCTTTTCCGAACGTCCGAACATGTTCCGGTGTTCGGCCGAACGTCTCCTGAACGTGTTCGGTCGAACATTTTTCTTCAATGGTTTTTTTTTTTTGGTCTTTGATTTTTTACTCGAGTTTTGTTACGAATGTGGACATGGCTCCCAGGCAAAAGTTGTTTGTATTATCATTCTACATAACATATATATTTTTTCAGATTGTTCTGAGAATTTTTTTTTATTTTTTTTTGTGTGTGTGTGTTTGCTTTTGGAGGGTTTTGACGCTCTTTCGGGCTCGGTAACCGAACACGAACACGATGCTACAGAGATTATTCTTATTCTTATTCTTATTCTTATTATTATTATTATTAGTAGTAAGTTCTAACTAAGCTAATCTGAGAACATTCTCCAGGACCACCCTTGAAAAACGAAAGCAAAGGGTTTTTTTTTTTTTTTTTTTTCTAAGTTCAGAACATGGCTTGTGGCATGAGCTGCCCATTGAGTCGGCAGTTGACAGACCATGTTGCAAACCAGTCCAGGGACTTGAGCACACATGCAGCACGACCAGGTCGGAAAATAAAAACAGCTGAACACACTTTTGACAGGCAGGGACGTTCAAAATTCAAATGCCGACGGCATAGTATGCATTGGACCACCAACTGGCCTGGCTCAGTTGGTACACCCCTCAACTGAACTGTTGAAGTACAGACCTGAGTTCGAACTCCACAGGAAACAGA